CAAATAAAAATACTGTAAAATTTATATCTTGAGGTCTAAATTCGTCTTATTAATTAATACAAAACCCATACAAGTGACCTATTTCTGCTTTTTTAAACAATGAAAATAAATTCTAGGAATTTTTTGTTTTATCAATTAATTTATCATACGTGTATGCTTCGTACTTAATTTAGTCTACTGTTTTTAATGAATGGACATTTCCCCCGAGATAAGATATTTAATTGAGTCAACTTTGTCATTTATAGCAATGTAAACATTAAAATAGAAATTCCAGAATTCCCCATATCAACTGATTAATTTACTCTATTTGTCGGCGACTTTCTCCAAGTGTTACATTTCCGATTTAATATAGTTTACTTTGTGAAGTGCCGGAGGAATCCCCTTGGCAGCTGCTAAAAGGCTTTGCATGTTCCATTTTTCCAGCTGTGTGGAAATGGCATGGAGATGATTAAGAATATAAAGTATAATAAGTTCCCTCTCATTACACATTCGCGGCAGTAAAACGTTTGCTCTGCGGCCCGCCCATTTGAATTAAATGGTACTCATTGCACTTGCTCATTAGAAAATATTTGCACATATAATTACTTGCAGTTCCCTTCCACCTCATTCCTCCGATATCTGCCCATGAACACGGGGGCATTATGCAAGTTGGCAGCCCAACTCACGCGATGTGTCGGTCTCAAATAAACGCAACGCGTCGCAGATTGCAATTCAAAGGCATTTTAATTGCACGTGAGTGAAAGGCTCTGGCAAAGGGGAAGCACAGGGGAAATCGCAGAATGTCAAGGCGTTGGGAAAGTTCTATGATGCAACTGGGAGTGAAAGTCGGAGACAATGAAGCTCTCAAAGCCTAGTTCGTTCACCCGAATCTCTGCTACCCCACCGATTTTCTCAGTTTGACTCGATTTGAACAGCAGCCGGCGGCTTCTTTGTGGCTCCATTTTCGGTTGCCTGCACTTAAAATGGAATCTGATGAATTCTCACAGATCACAAAAAATATTATTCTATAAGAAGCTAGACAACTTTTTGTATTTAGTATAAATAGCAATATATTCTAAGCTTAGGGAAATTATGTAATTTTAAACTTTGTTAAAGAATTGTGTTTAAATATAGTTAAAAATTCATTAAGAAGCATTAATGAAATATAAAATTTAATTCTTTATGTTATATTTAAATCATTATATTATCCATTTATTTTTCTATGTGTATGTTTCGTGCACGAGCATCGCGTAATATTCCCAGTAATCCTCCCCCTCAGAACTCCAAGTTCCCTCTGGCGATTTATTTGTTCCGTCGATTATGGCAGCGAATTCGTGCAAATAAGATAAATGGAATTGTCAAAATTGTTGTGATTGCCTCATTGTCATGTTACTGTCAGCACTGTGTTTCTCAACTCCTTAAAGAGAGTGCACAGAAAAATGCTGCCATTAATTAAGAGTTCCGATCCAGTTGGTTATGGTTATTCATGCTGAAACTCCAGTGGTGGTCAAAAAACAAGTTGGTTTTCCCCCAACCAAAATCAATTTCCGGTCCAGATGGAAAACTTTGCTCTCAGCTTATTTCTTGCATAAATTTTAAAACAGCTGAGCAATAGTTTTGCACAAAACTCAATTGAAAAGTAATTTAAATAAAGTACAACAAGTTGCGAAAGTTTTATAACCTTCAAGCTAGCTACAAATTTTCAAAATCTTTAAGTTGTAAAAAATAAATTTTAATGACTTTTTAAATGGGAATACAGTTTGCAAGATACTTTGACAGATTTTTCAAATGACCATTAATAGCTCGCAGTTTTTTATGAGATCCTAAAATTACCCATTTCGATTTATTATCGATTTTTAAATTGTAATAAATTTGTTGAAATTGCCGATTATTTCCGGCCAACTTAATTACACTGAGAAGAATAATGTGTACATCATCCTAAAGATTTTATTCTATTTATTTATTTATTTTATTCTTATAACTAAACGATTATTTTCTGAATAGCTCTCTAGCTGTGCAAATAATTTGTATGAGTTTTAAAATATTTGCATAGTTGAAGAGTCACTGAATCCACTGCACTCTGACATGCCTTTTGCCATGAGTATGAAATTCTTTCGTACCGCCAGACAGCGAGTGGGCCAAATCAGAATCGAAAATGACGAGGGTGAAGGGAGGAGCTACCCATAGCCAAGCAATTTGTGTCGTTTTTGCCGTCTCATTTGGCACACGGCCAGTGCATTCGGCCAAAATGCAATCGAGTGCACGCCCGTCTGCCGGGCCTGCGATTCCAAATGACTCCGAACGCCCGTCCGTCCCTTCGCCTCGCAACTATAAATTACATTCCATTAAAAAATCATGCCGCGGCGCACAAATCAACATCAACTCAATGAACATAAATTGCCAAGACGAGCTGCTGGAGCGAAGAGGAGGTGGTGAAACTGCACAGTGATGGTGGACAACGGGCTGGGTGGCGCTAACGGATCGATCGGCCTTCACATTGGCCGCCATGACGACGACGACGGCGACAACGCACATGGCCCAAAATGCACACGAGCACGGCCAAAAAGAGAGGGATAGAGCCAGAATGACAGGACTTTGTACTGACCAGCCAAGTGGTCTACAGTGGGTCAAAATGAAAATAGAACAGATGAATAAGGTAACAATACCAGAATATCTTTCATCAAAAGTTAAAAACTACTTTTAAATTTACCTGAAAATCCAAAATAAATATCTCAATCTGAATACACAAGAATATATGGCTTACACACTCTTACATCATTATTTACGATTATTGTTTGACAAAAGTTTATAGTTTTCCTTTCTCACTTACCTTTCATCCATAAATATGTGTTAGCGCCATTTCCCATAAATCACGCAGATAGGGCAGCTATCTTAATTGATCCTTTCCACCGTGCCACTAACGTAATGCATTTGGGAGTAGTCCGGCGTTGATTCCGGTGCCTTCGAAGTTTTCCTTTGATGGTGGCTGGCGGATGGGCTGTCCAGTCGATCCAGAGCTCGTTTTGAGCCATTTCTGCTGCGTTGGCATTGGTGTCACGCATTTGGTTTTGTTATTGGGCCCCCGAGTGATGTTTGCAGCTAATTAGAAACGCCTCACGCACACCCACACCCTGCTCACATTTGGCCAGCAAAAGCAATCTGCAATTACAGTTGAGCAGGCGGAGGTAATCGTGGGAAGGAGGCAATTGGATGTCGGCGGTGAGTCTCAGGACATGTGCGAAATGACTGCCAATCGATTTGGCTTTCGGAACGGGCATGTAATTAATGGAGCGTGGCTTAAATTATGCAAAGCTCAATCAACTGCATTTCGCAGTCCTGGGAGTCTCCTTTAGCTCGCTTCCAGATCTTTGGTCCACATCTCACGGCGTGTCAATTTCCGCCCGAACACGTTGTGTGCGACGACTTGCCAACATCCACATCCACTTCCTTCTCCTTCACGGCGCCACATGACGTGCCGTTGATATTTATGTCGTCGCCATTGTCGTCTCGGTTCCATTCCGGGGCACCATTCTCCTTCCTCTCGAACTCGGAACTCAGAATACAGGACGCAGGACTCGGTTCTACTTTGAGCGTAATCAGCAACGTGCCAGGGTAAGGTAAAATCACAATTGCACCGCAGGAAGCCGAAGGATACAATGAATGTTCAATGCACTGAAAATAAAATAGTAAAAATAAATGATAAAATTAAAATAATGACCATAGAAAAGTTCCTGAAGGCTATATTCTGAAAAATAAATTTAAAACTTAATAAAATATTTATTTATTATTACCATCTTTGTAATAAAAATAGAAAAATGTAAATAAATAATGTTATTTTTCGCTTGAAACCCATAAATTCAAATGTAATTCTGTAAATCCCAGTTTCGCTTAGTGTTTTTGTTCGGGGACAAGGTCTATGGAAGGTGGCGAAAGGCTGCGAGCCATGGTGAATCCAGTTTAGAACTGTTGCAAGACCAGATCCTGCTGGCAACGTGATGATGTTTACATCCTATGCAAATACAATTAATTCCACTTTTGTGGACACTCTTTGTGCTAGCAGGTCGGTGAGGCGAGTGTGACATAGGAAATGTTGACACTGCCACGGGCATTGTGGATCAGGACGCCAAATGCCAGCACCTTTTGTTTGGATTTTCCTGGGTGGTCTCCTTTTGTGCCTGTTAACCCCAAAATGGAAGGAACATTTCCGTCACAGTTTCAAAGCAACTGTCCCGCACATTTCGAAATTTCCTTATTGCCATCAATCGAAGACAACCAATGACGCAATATTGTAAACAAAACGTTCATCCCAGCGCTATAAATTTTACGTTCCTATCTTTCCCCGAAAACAATTGTAATTAAATTGACCATAATGGAACAATCAACTTTACACTGATCAAAAATTATTCTGAACTGCAATACAAATCTTCTTTTAAATGCTTTTAGCTAATACAAGTAAAATAAATACAAGTTATATATATAAGATATATTATATAGAAAACTTGTATAAAGGAATTGTTAATTTTTTTCTGTGTATTTTGTATTTCTCTCCGCCGTGCTAAAAATCCTCTTTGTCATTTTATCATCGAGTCTTTCTGTCTGGGCGTTGCGCATTTGATTTGGGTGCGATTAAGCGAACTTTGCACTCCACGAATACCAATCCCAATTGGAAAGGGATCACGGTGCAGATTACGTCGCTTGTTGCACGCCGTGCTTACATTTGCATTAGCAATGAACGAAATTGTAAATTTAAATTACACGAATCGCTTAAAGAGTAGGATTCAAACTGGGTTGATTCAATCTGCGCTGACCTTAAAGTTTACGGTCCTTAACTTTTCATATGCTAATAGAGAATGGTCAAGGTTATATCAAAGTTTGTTTAAAATAAAACGTGTAAAGAGTTCACTGGCTTTAGGATTGACACACAAAGCAAGCCCTAATGCTTCCCAAACTGTATCTCACGCCTTGGCGTATGCAATACTTCTCATCAGCAATCCATTACAAATAAAACCAAAGTGTCTTCTTTGCTCGTTAGGTTTTTTTTTATTGAAAGATGTTTTATCAACACCCTTAAATTTATATGCTGATGTTAGTTTTTTTGTTGTTTTTTATTTCTTGTATATTGGTTGTACAGCTGGTTGTTGTTGCTGTTGTTTGTGGTGTTTGATGGTTACGATTTCACAATTTCAACTAGTTTAAGCTTAATCCTTCCGGTTAGTATTATATATCCTTCTTCTGTCTGTAATATTTGCACATTGCACTTCAAATCAATGTGTGATCAACAACGATATGCAGAACTTGCAACTTGAATAAAATATAATTAATAAACAACTTTGATAAATATGTGTGATTAATCATGGCTACAACATTTCAATATGTAAATATGTACTATGATAATGACAAAGTTTTTCTTGTTACTACCTATCCCATTTGGATAGACGATCATAAATAGATTGAAAAAAAGAATCGAGTAACAAGCAATGTGCCCCTGCACTTTTTGTCGGCCAGTGGACACTAAGGTCCCACGAAATATATATTTTATTTTCTGGTATTCTTCAACAATGGGTAGTTTTTCAATAGTGTATATATAAATATATATGGTTAATTGAGTGTTTGGGGGCTTTTTAGGGTTTATTGTAATGTGTTGGTTTATTTGCGTCATTGGTTTCACTTATACTTATCAATCATAAATATAAAGTTTAATAATAATAATAATGGTAAAACATCGATTTTCATAGAGGATCTTTTATAAAACATTAAAAAAATTCCATAAAACTTTGTGCGATTTCAATGATTCAAGACTTTAGACATTTTGTTCTTGTTTGATAGTGGTTGCTCTTGTTTTCACTATTAAAATGTGTTGGTTTGTAGTTAACGATTTACGAAATATTTACTTGTTAACATTGAAATCTTTGATAATCATAATAATAATAGAATATAAATTTCATAACTTCAACAATAATATGTTTGTATGCTTAAAATTAAAGATAAAATTGCTTCTCCATCGAACATAATCCTTGATTTCTTCTGCACTCATCATTTTTAGTTGTTCTTTAACATATTAATTATTTTGCAAAAATGTGACGTACTACATATATATAACATCTTTTTGAAATTGTAATCCTTCATATTCCTTTTTTTTGTATTTTTTAATGCTTGCTTTGCTTAGCTCTCGAAACTAAGATAAAAATAAACAAATCTGCCAAACATTTCTAGCAAACTGCTTTGTAGTTAATTTTTATGTAGTTGCATGAAGGTCCGTCGTCCAAGTGCCTTAGTAAGCGTGGTTGGCCACGAACAGGGATCCAGATCCGGCACCAGCGCTTCCGGCAACGTACTTGCCCTGAGCGGCATCACCGTTAGCCTGCGGGAGGGGTAAAGGAAAATTTGGTGGAAAATTGTTAATTACATTCGGAAAAATATCCAGGAAAATATTACTTCTAATTACGTACACTTGGTCTTAATTATTACTTAGTTATTACTTGGCGGGCCGCAGCAGAAAAGTTTTTCGGCCAGCTTGAAAAGTTTTTTGCACTGATTTTTGCTCCTCACGAAAAACTTTTTCCAGCCACCTGCGGCAATTTTACAGAAACTTTTTACGCATCCAAGCGGAGCAATACATGTTACGTACAGCAAAAAGTTTGGGAAAATTTAATTTTACAAGTTCTTTTGCAGGAAAATTATGATTCGATTACATATAACAGCGATGGGAATCGGGAGCAGAACAGGTGGAAAGTTGACCATATTTTTCATTGGATGGGCGTTTTTGTTTTCCATATAATTTTATCTTAACTGTCAGATACAGGCATTCAAAGCTTTAACTTTTACTAATAAACAATAGAAAGCTTTGCAAGGGCCTTTCAGAAACTTTTGTTATAAATAAATTTAAAGTTAAAGTTATTGCAAAACATCAAGGTAAACTTTGGCCATCAAAAAATTATAAATAATTTGCCTAAGGAAAACTTAAAATAAATAAAATTAACTTATATCTCTTATTGAACCTAAATTTAAGGGAAAAATCATGAAACTATATAAGCTAAAACAAATTAAAAACAACGTTTAAAATTAAGGTATCAAAAAAAGACGTACAATTTATTTTTGTTTGTCAGTATAAATTTCAACTTTTCAGCTTAAAAGTTTTTATATAAAATCTAGTCAGTTTATGTGGTATAGTTTATATATGATAGGCTAAAAGGAATATATTTGCAGTTCCGTTGTTGGAGGAATGTAAATGCCGCCAGTCTCAGTCCAGCTTTGGGCCTTGATCAGTATCTCTAGCGTGATTAGCTGGATTTAGCTTCGGCTTGGGATATAGCATCGCTCGATTCTGACTCGGGATTAGTGCGTGGCATTAAAGACTTAGTACTTGTGCTGGGCGACAAAGAGGTTGGCATTGCCGGCAAAGGACGGGATCGAGCCAGCCACATATTTGCCCTGGCAGGCCAGGGAATTGGCCTGTGGAAGCGGGAAGGAGAGCGGGATTTTGGTTGGGATTAATCAGATTTAGGGCTTTTAAGGATTAGGTTTCGGTTTAGAGCAAGCAAAGTATGAGTGATATGAGTATGCGGCATGTCAAAAGCTATACTTGATGGCTTGTTAAGTTTTTAATTTACCAAATTTAAGCTCTTTTTTCACCATTAAAGATCAGTAAATCTTGATTTTAGTTCAGTATTTATGATCATCCACATGCAAAGTATCTTTACCAGCGAAACCCTGGACAGATCCAGCTTCATAATTACCACAAGCCGCTTCACCATTAGCCTAATGTTGAGGGATATGTTAGATTATGAATGATGGGATAATGGGTTATTATAGGTTTAATGGAAAGCAAACAGATAGAAAATTAAAGGTATTATAATAGTTCTGTATGGTAGGAATAAGAATGCTTTAAGCTGAATGAAACTCTCATGAATATTATGTCACAAGTGGAAAATTAGTAAGAGTTCGATAAGCAGTTAATGAATTAAAGAAGATTGTAAAAAGATTAGAAGTCAAATTCTTAAGAATTTCTAAAAGATTAAGCATTGATAATGCAAATGATAGATTAGTTAAGATAAGGAACGAATTCTGTAAAAATAATATTTTTGGATTAGGAATCGGAAATGGGATATACGGATGGGATAGCAATTTATATAGGCGTTACAAAATTCCTTAAACCGATTAAATCTGGCAGTACATTCTTCCAAAGTTAAGTGCTTTCACCTCTTACATACTAACTATTCCCAATAATATAAAGACGAAACTATCTGAAGACTCACCTTGGCGCGCTTCAGGAGCTCTCCCTGGCCGGCGGCGATGTTCTCCTTCTTGCCAGCCCAGGCGCGCAGGACGGAAGCCTGCAGGGCACGACCGTACGAGAAGGTCAGGGCCCATGGGCGGACCAGAGGAACGTTGTTGATGGCGCTCAGGTTGACGGTGGCCTCCTCCTCGGACTGACCTCCAGACAGGAAGGTCACACCTGCGCAAAGAAGTCGATTAGATGGATTTCTTATGTAAGGATATGTCGGAAAATCAATTCCCAGATTCAAGAGGTAAAAATCCGTTTTTTAACCCAGATTAGGGATCAGGACTCACCGGTAACGGCGGCGGGAACTGTGCGGCGCAGAGCCGTCACGGTGGCCAGAGCGATCTCCTCAGGGGTGTTCTTCTTGGCCGACTGTCCGGCGGTGACCATGTTGGGTTTCAGCAGAGTACCCTCTAGGTAGACGTGGTGGTCGCTCAGGGCCTTGTAGACGGCGGCCAGGACGGTCTCGGTGACCTTCTGGGCACGGTCCAGATCGTGATCGCCATCGGGCAGAACCTCGGGCTCCACAATTGGAACGATGCGCTGCGACTGGCAGATGGAGGCGTAGCGGGCCAAAACGTTGGCGTTCTCCAGAATGGACTGGTAAGATGGGGTGTTCTTGCCGATCTTCAGAACGCAACGCCACTTAGCGAAGTCGCATCCGTCCTTCTTGTACTGGGCGCAACGGGCGGCCAGATCATCCAGACCCTGGGTGGTGACCTCATCCTCGGAGCCGAACAGTGGGACCACACCCTTGTCGACCTTGATGCCCAGAATGATGCCCTTCTTCTTCAGGATATCGGCGAAGGGGGTGCCATCGTCGGCCTTCTGGTAGAGGGTCTCGTGGAACAGGATCACTCCGGAGATGTTCTCGGCCAGCTTGGGGTCAGTGCTGAACAACAGCTGACGGTAGGCACGGCGGTTGTCCTCGGTGTTCTCAACGCCGATGTCCTGCAGACGCTTGCCCATGGTTGGGCCGGACTCATCGGCGGCGAGGATTCCCTTGCCGGGGGCGACGATGCGCTGGGCGATGCCCCTCAGCTCATCCTGCAGCTCCTTGCTGGGGTAGTTGAAGTAGGTGGTCATTTTTGAGATTCGAGTGTTGTTCTGCAGCACGGGAATCGATTTTCGACGAGATTTAGTTCCAATGGAAAATGTGAATTTTTTTGATGCATTTTTGATGGAAGAATAAGAAGGTTGAACATTTTTTATTAGAAATTTAGTTAACGGTTTCGAAAACGGTTCCCGAAATAGCAATGCATTACTTAAACGCAGAATTTTGAATTTTTTAAGGGGAAACTAAACTAAACGAAAAATTTGACAAGGATTTTGGAATATGATCTAAACAGTATAAAAACACAATGCCGGATAAGGCAAGGGTGTGTGTATAGAAAATATCTGTTAATGAAGCAGCTATCAGTCAGTTTTATCAAAAAAAAAAAAGTTGTTGGGGTAATTACACTAAAAAAAGAGAAACTGCTTAGTTATATTGATTTCATTTGATCAAAGACCTTCTTGAACATAAGTATAAAATTTAAAATATTCTTGAACCCTATATAGTTTTTTGTATTTCATGGCGGTGCAATATTATATCATCATATTTTCAGTGTCAGGTCAATGTCACTGATATTTTTTTTATTTATAAAATTTTTTCCATTGAAAATAATATATTCTTTGCTTGTTAGTGTTATTCACAGCTGATTTGATAGCAAAGAGCGAGTAATTGAACGAGTTCAAAGGCGCATGCACCGAGAACGTGGTATTTCTCTATATTTCTCTATATCTATCGCTCTTGCTCTCTCTCTCATTTTTTCGGTGTCTCTCCGTCTCTCAGCAATTACACACAAAATGTTGATATTTCCTATAGTTATTTTTTATTTGTTCTCATAACTTTGTTAAATTTGTGAACGTTAATTTCTTTTAAAAATATTATAAAAATATCACACTGCACTGTTTTTAGTTAGGAACTGTTAATTATTATTGCTTATATAGCCTCCTGTTTACTCCAACTATTTGCAAAAACCGAATAAGTAATTAAACCTTAGAGCACACAGTGAAAAAGTGAACCAACCTCGACGATGAATTTTTAGTAACTGAACAAAGTCACGGAAACCTCGGGAATAATTCCCTCTGATGTAATCAAAGTCATGGAGTCTTCCCTCTCTTTCTCACTACATAGCTCGCTCTCTTTCCCACCCGCATAATGCGTGACGTGGAAACTTTCACTTTTATTAACGCTGCAGCAGCGCTGCTGGCAGTGACGCCAACGCAGGGCGCATGAGTTTCAGCTTGACATTGAACAAGGTCAAGCAACAATGTTGCAATTGAGTTTTGGCAACAAATGTTGCCAAGCGAAATGTGTTGCTTACGAAATTCGAATAGAAATTGTTGAAAACCGAAAGTCGTGTGGCGCGTGTGAGAGGAGTGATAAAGATGGGGATAACTAGTGTGAAAGGGATGGATGAGTATCTAGCAATATGTAGATACAGATACGAAATATTCTGCGATGACTAAAAACTCAGGTTTTTTTTACTTGTTTGACATTGACAGTGAGCCAAGGACTGGAATCGCATAAATGTCAGACTATATAGATTAGACAGGCACTACTTTATCAAAAAATGTTGTTTACCACATCGCCTATAGTTCCCACGCCATATATTAGACACTTTTCATACACGTGCACACCTTGAGATTAAGATTTGATAGATATTCTTATGACCTGACATATACTTGGAAAATTACTACATTTTTTGAGACTATGTAAAGGAAATATGTTTCTTTTTTATAATATCATTGAACTATGTTAGGGTATTATGTGATAGATCATTCAATTTTCAAAAATTTGAAATTTTACTATTTTCTTTTACATCTTCACAGATATATTTTTTCAAAATATGCATTTTGTATAAAATTTCACATAAGACAATAGTTACACTTTTTCAGAACGCCACCCAATTACTTGACATACACTAAATATACACTTTTTATCTATAGAATGATTTATCTATATCTAGTTGGTATTCACTGAAAAGACAACACCCACCTACACTTGCCGGCAATCAATCGAAGACTAAAGAGTTTCGGAAACTAGACGAAATATATACGATGTAGAAAATATAAGAAGAAAAAAGAAAAGCAAAACAGGCAACGCATGACAACAAAAAACAATCAAAATATATTTAAGTTGCTATCAAGAAACCGTGTATAAAAATAAAACCGACACATGTGTGCCTATATGTACGTTTTTGTGTATGTATGTATTTGTACAAAAAACAAGCTGATAAAAAGTGAAGCAACAAAAAAGTGTCATGGAATATTGTAGAAGTTGCTCCGGAAAGATGAACAAACAAGTTCAACTTGTGGCCGCATTTGTATATATTATCAGAGGAAATTTTGAATCGAAAACGACTGAAAAAACGAGCCCCTTCTGACGGTTCCAAAGGTTTTTGTGCATTATCATAACGAGATTCTAGGTCCGGCCTCCTAGATCGCAGACAGTGGGTCAAAAGAACATCTACCAGGGCTGATAGTACTACTACTGATGTAATAACTAGGAAATTGACGTCAAGCGATTAATAGTCAACTTGGGTGGTAAATAATCGAAATAAATACAAAAACAAATTCATTTTGAAGGCAGGAACTTCTGACTGAGCACGTACTCTTTTTCCTATCTAAATGCCCTTTCTATGTGACCCCAATAACTTTGCTTGGTGGGTGTCTGCTAACTGGGCTATAAATACAAGTTATTACTCTGAAGAATCTTATCTAGTTTTTCGATCGATTCTCCTATACAATACTATTATGGAGTATTTATTTTAATCATATAGATTATAAATATTTGTAGTGAAGCCGTTTTAACAATAATCATTGTTAGTCCGTCATAGTAAAGTATACAAAAGATGTTTTAAATGTATAAAGTCTAAATATAGATTTTTGTTTATAAACCTAAAAAGGTAGCTCCTGTTGACCTTCAGCAGAAGTCCTTGCCCCTCCAGAACTTGTTTTTGTGTATGTAGGCACCAACCAAAACAACCCCTAAACTTGTGCCTCTCTCTGTTCTCAGTGAATGTGTATTCATTTCCTTCCTATACTGAATTTTATCACATCTCCCATTCATTCATTGAACGGTAAATGAAAAGTGCAATGAATAAAGTGGCCCAATGAAATAACAATAAAAGACGTCAACAAATCGTGGGATTTACGATGACGTAGGCTAATTAAAGAGCACATAAAAATGTGCGAGAAAGATACGAAAATGTATGTATTTCCCGATGAAAAGTACATGCATTTAACATTTGCGGCAACTATTTATAAAGAAAAATCGCAGCGGCAGCTACAAATTGCTGTTGAAACTTTGCCAACAAGCAAATGAACTCAATTGGAAGAGCGAGATAAAAAAACTGTAAGAGAGCCGGTTGAGCCGGTAGAGAAAAACTACTTTCGAGAGCTAAAAGTCACCCGATAAGGTTTCTTATCGTCTGCAGTTCCCGTTTTCCCCCACTCTTTTTCCCCCGGTGCATAGGTCAACAACACACTCAAGGTTCTAGAACTTGTCGTAAAACTTTAGAGCACGAGGAAATATAATCAAATTACATAGAAACTAAGCACTCACTAACACCTCTTTACATTCTGTTTTATTTTGTAAATTTGGATTACGAAACAAACGAAAAAAATGGTAACGATTACGCGACTTTTCAATTGCACTGCAAACTCTCATATATATCTATATTATTTTTTAGTGGATTTTATATTTACTCTATCACGCCCACTATTCACCGCCCACTCACCGAACTGGAAACTGAATCAGGGATGTGGTGATTAGCTGCTGGCTACTGGCTGGGTCCGCTGCTGCTGCTGCACTGGAGGAGAGCGGTTAACGCTTTTATTTTCGGTTCGAAATCGGTGCTGCTGCCGCCTCTGCTGCTGGCTCTGCTACCGCTGCCGACTGCGACGTCAACGTGAAATTCCAAAGCGAAATAAGCGAGACATCGTGAGCGAGACCCCAAAAGGTTGTTTAGAGGTCGTCGCCGCCGGTGTTGGGCAACCGACTGAGCCAAGCGCTAAAAATTCCCAGATCCCCAAACACCAGGCATCCAAAATAAAGCTCTGCGTGGGAGCTTTTAGTGGGTGAGGCAACCTTTGAATGAGATGATAAAACTAGCTAAAAGTTAATGGTTAGCTTTGAACTGCTTTAGCTTTTAGTTTGGCGGTCTGAAATTTAAAATAATTATTAGGAAGCAAAGGTATATATGTATTTAAAAGGCATTATTATTATACTTTTGATAAAGATTATGTTTCGACTTTAAGATATTTTTAAAAATATTTTTCTGGGGATTGAAATGGAATGTTATGAAATATAGTCTTTGATGTTTGAATCTGGTTAATAAATCACAATTATATGTTCTAAGTTCTAAGATTATTGAACTGTTATTTTAGTTTTATTTCTATTAAATACAACAAGGTGAATGATGTTCAAACTTTTTCATCAGCATGTGATGTATTTGAAGAATGAAAGATATACTCAAATTTCAATTAAAACAGAGAGTTCTCTTAACAAAATATATTATTAAATTAGCCTGTCAACAACATGTCCTTGCTTTTTTAAAGGATTAACTAGTTTAAAGTGAAGAAGAATAATTAATTTGGTATATTTCTTCCGTAATTACTAGCGACCTGCTTAAGTTGGAGCGGTCAATGCATTTTCCGTGACCATCAGCATCAGGCGCCCCAAAAAGGAGCCCCACAAAAACGAGGGGTGGCAGAAGCAGCAGCTAGGATAAGCGACTTTCACGCCATGCCTGACCTCCTGCAATGTTAAAGGACTCAACCCCCTGGCACTCGAAACAGCTGATTTTGGAGAGGATACTTAGAGAAAATATCCCCTTATTTTGTGCTATAAGATTCTATTGAGTTGAAGAGAAAGAGCTGCTCTTTAAAAGGAAACCTCATTGGCATAGTTTTATGAATGAAAAGTATAGCGAATAAACAGAAATTATCCTTAAAATAATATAGTTTTTAGTTTGGAAATCATATAACACAAAGTTTTATAAGTTAAAATAGTTAAAATGGAAGGTATAAAACGATAACTACTCTTACCTAATAAAGCAACCTTATCCAAAGCGCTCTTCGTTGTCCTTGCTCTCGGCGACTCGTGGCTTCGTCCTTTTTCGCTTCTCGTGCCTGCCTCACTCGCTTCCCAGTTTCGTTTTGGGGATTCTGGTTCAGTTTTCAGTTCGAATTCGTGCGTCGGCCGGTCGAGTTGTGTGCCAAACGCTCGGCACCTGTCGCCCAACACGTGTTGCGTTCCACTTGTGCTGCGCGTCTCCTTCGCACACCCGCTAGCACCGTACACCGCGGCGTATACGTTACGTTACGTATTGTGGTGCAGCCAAAGCGAAATAATATTTAATTATTATAGTTATGTGAGCCGAGAGTGGAGTGCTTTAGAGCTAGAATTTCAAGCACAAGCAGTGATTTAACTCATATTAAATTATAGAAAAAAATAAAGAAAACGAAAGTGAACTTGTGGCCCATAAGCATGATAAATTGTTTGCCCAGTTTTGGTAAGAAACTTATTAGGAAGAAATTATTAATAGTATTAAGTTATATATGGGATAGAGAGAAATGGATTTTTAATTGTATTTTTCACTTAAGAGAGAAAGGCATTAAAGACAATATGAATATTTTGTTCCCGTTTTGTTTAATCCGTCTATTTTATATAATAAATAGTTTTAACTTTAAAGCCTTTTATTGTATTTATTCATTCTATGGTTAAACAAAATTGCCAAATAGGAAAATATCAAAACTATTTGTATAAGATGTCAAAGAAAAGGAAGTAAAAATGCTGAAAATTATGTAAAAGTTACTCATAACTAAAGTTAATAATATTCTTTTTAAAGCTCGTTTGTACTAGCATAATTTTCTAGCTCATGCCTAAGATCCTTTAAGCTTTAAATAAAAAGTACCCGAAAAAAAAACCTACAGAATGTGTGCAACAAAGAATGCAAACTAGTTTTTCCGAGTTTCGCTGGGTATTCAGTGTACATACGAATATGGGTTTCATATGCAGATTTCTGCCGCCAGAGTCATAATATTGAGCAATTGATGAGAGCGCGTTTAGCTTGGCTTTGTGGCATTTGGCTCATTAATATGCGGCAGGCAACACAAAACACACCCTCTTGCCACCCCCTACATACCCACACACACCCTTTAAACACACACATACAATTGAAGAAAACTCTCCTTCCATAAACTTGTGTCTGTGTTTTGTCTCGTCCTCATCTGCATTTGCCCGAAATGAGAATGAGAATGAGTATCCTATAACCGACTGAGCAGCATCCTGGCTGCTGATGATAATGTTGATTCCTGCCTTCCGCAACAATTTGCTTTGAACTTTATCCGCCCCCTCTTTGGCCACGCCCCTGGAGCTAACCGAAATCCCAAAATGTAACCCAAACTCCGGCTCACATTTCTATAGCTTTTGTTGTGGCATTTATAAATGCTTGTTACCTTTTTCTCGTCTCATTTTTAGTCTTGGCCGAAACAAAGTGTTTATGGTCTCTGGCAGTTTGAGTTTTGTGGCTTGGATTAGGAATCTATCTTAAAATGGCACAAATTGTGTTTGCCGAGGATATGTCAGTCTAGATTGGCCAAGCTATTTTGAGAAGGACTTCAATTAAGTAGAGAACGTTCTCCTATTGAAGGAATTTCAAGTGATATATGGTGAGGAATTCAAGGCATGGCAAATTAATTACTTTTTACTCGACTTGCAAAGATTTTCGATTGGAAAATTGTGGTAAAAATATTCAAAGCAAAAGGTTCACAAAATGCAATTTGTATTTTTAGTCTAGAAAAGTTAAAATTATTGCTTGCCTTTACCCCTTTTGCTATAATATAGAAAAATATATATTTAAATTGCAGTTCATTGCCAAATTCTGTTTGTCCTGTAGGAAAATCTCTCTTTAATTTCCTGGTCTACTGCCCATTATTTGTACATCTGTTGGGCGGATCGTTTGCTGATTACTTGTGGCATTCCGCAACATATGTCGTTTTATTTTGGGTCAGAACTTTTATTCATGGCTTCATTTGATTCTTACGCGTGCAATTGCCCTCAACTCGAGCATAAATTATGCATACAAAAAAAGAAAAGAGAAATAATAACAATAAAAGAGAGACCTGAAAGCGAAGGTCGAGGCAAATCAAACAAAATGGAAAGAAACATGAAAATGTTGTAAAATAATTTCAATTCATTCTAAGGCCATTTCGGATGCCTCTGGGCCGGTTGTCATTCCGTTGGAATTTGTGCGGTCGCTGCTGTTTGTTGTTGCCGCTCTTCCGGTCCTCGAAAAATGAAAAAAAAACCCATTGAATTTTCTGTGTTCGGTTTGGCTTGTTTACGGACCAACCAGAATGAGAACAAGCAGAATATAGCGAAACACACATAGAACATCCTTGTTAAAGTTTGATTTGCTTCCTTTTGTATTTCTAATTTCATTTTATTTCGCCACATGAGTCCCATTCTGCCTGCGAGCGACCATGCTATTAATTTATGCAAATATATATTGCGAAAAAGTTTCTGTTCGGTGAAAATTTTAGCAGAGTGGTATTAGAATGTTTCCAACTGTTTTGGAGGAAAATAATGTGAAAAATGAATAATAATTCTTTTTAAATAGATAAATTGCATATAATGCGTCACCATTTGATAGTCATTCTACTATTTAAATATTCATAGCTTTAAATTAATTTGCTCTAAATTTGTATAGAACTCGCAGTTGAATTTCCTTATTTAGTATTTTAATTTTATACAAATGAAAACCTTTATTTATTTTGATTGAATAAAATTATAGTCTAGGCTTAAGTACTTTTTAAGATACAAGTTCCTAAAAATTAAAAAACGAGTAATCCCTTGTTGTACAGGTGGGTGGTTGGCAGTAATTTTCTTGCTCAAAGTTCTGGAAAATAATCTTCCAGGACTTAATTTGGCTTTTACCCCTCCTCTTCCTAAAGAGCTTTGTCTGGCCATGTGATCAGCAGCTATTACGGGGACTTCTAATGATACGTTTTATTATCCTTGTAAAATTGAATAAGCATAAACCAGGGGAAATTCCCGTATGGCCTCGAGCAACTTGAGCATTATGGTTGGGAAACCTTATCATGCCGGGACTATGCTGGCATTCCCGCCGAGCTTACAAATCCTCCCAAGACCCCCTTGAAAAAAAAACACCACCCAATTCACGAAAGAAGGGAAAATTTCTCCAATGGGTGGTGATGGGTGTTATTCGCTTTTCGCATTGACTGTTTGCTACAATTCGCTAGTGAATGGAATTTAGAGCTGAATGAAGAAGGGGACTTGGGGGGCTTGATTATAAATAACGTACAGTAAGCGCACATGAATGCATTTTGATTGTCTGCTGTAGTTTACGGCACGTTTCCTTTATTTTTTGCCGCTTCTGCTTCTGGAGTTCTGAAGGGAAAAAATGGAAATGAAAGACGACAAACTCGCCGTGCAATATCTGTGTGTGTGTGTATAGGACAAGGGGGGGCGTGGCAACTTCCTTAAATGGTGCACTAATGTAGAAAAGAAAAGCATTTTTATATTTATTTGCTTGCCACTTTGCATGGGAATTCCAACTGCAACGAGGACATCGCATTTCCTTACTGCAATTTTCCAACGCGCGCACTCCGGTTTCTTCACAGTCAGCGCCTCTCCCTCCCCCTATTTTCCTTATTTTTCCCATACTTCTTGTTCGTTTCGCTTCCTTTTCTTTCGTACATTCGTTACTATTTTTTTTTGAGGCCATACAAAATAATGTTTCATGTTGCAATAAATGTACGATTCAGTCCATATACCCCTCCTTCAGCTCCTCCTTCTGCTCCCTCTCCCTTATATGTCATTTCCCCCAGAACCCCTGTCGTTCGTTCGTTCCGGCATATCCCAACGCCCATGCATGCCACTCAACGAAAACTGAATGAAAAAACTGCATATATGAAATAAAAGGAGGCGCACACACATTGCTCATACGCAGCGTTGCACGCAGTTATCCTTGCGCCCATTTTGTCCTCCGTCTGCAATTGTATGCCGCTCACTTTTGAACAGCAAGGAATACAATTTATTAACCCACCAGTCATATTTAATATCCTTCAATAGGGCTTAAATTACACCCCACCTGATTTTGCCGAGTTGTGTTTTAAATCCGATTTATTGATTTGGAAGGATGTTGTTTTTGTAAAATAGAAAAGCATATTAAGCAGATTTAGTGGCATTTAATCACTTCCTTTTGATCTTTTTTAAGCCGTTAAAGTAGTTCAAAGTATAATACGATTGATTTTTGAAATAAGCCAAAACTTTTCATTTTGTCTTTAAAAAATTAAATTTATATTTTCTCAATTTATAATTATTAAATCGTTCATTTCCGTTTATATAATATTAAATGCACTTTTAAGTGATCCCAGGATTACATCACATTTTCCTTGCGGTTTTCATTTGGCTTTTCCCCAGCTGATGTAAGCAGGACCTCTTCAATTTAATTAAATATCCCATGTTGTGGCTCTTAATTTCGGTTTGCCTGCCTCTTGTTTTTGAGGCATCAATGTTTAATGAAGCGCCAAACGTTTTCGATTTCACAGAGCCGACTTTTGTTTGTCGTCCTTCGTCGTCCTTTGCTTCCTGTTAACCCAACTGGGTCTAATTTGGCTTCCTCAACTCTGTTGTTGTATTAATAATTCGTGCGTTGCGTTTCAGTCACGTTTTGCATGTCGGAAAATATTCGTGGCGCGTTGCCCTTGTCAATGTTGTCATTTCCTGCTCATGGTTGACTCTGTTGATTTTTGCATAATTTCTGTTTGGCCAGATAGCTTAAACAGCACACTGCCATAGCAAAAAAAAATATACATACTCGCAGAGTAAAAGGGAAAATCGAACCCCAAGGAAACCGAATCCATAATCAGTTGCAGAAAAGTGGAAGAAAAGTAGAAGCAGATAAGATATCGCCCCAGTTCTCTATAGTAAGAATGTTTTCATTTTGTTCGCAGGCATCAGAGCATGAAAATCAACATGCGAATGCCACTGGCCCCTCCTTTTGAATTCCACTTTTATTTCTTTGTGACCTGGCATGCAGGGTGCAGGGTGCACACCAACAGTTGGCACATGAAAATGAAAATATAAGGGGACAAATAAAAATGGGAAAATACAAAATAGAAGTAAGTGTTAACATAATCACAAGAAAAATAAAATGTTTGGTTTATACAGACTACCAAAAGGGGATTTAGAAAGCTTAGTTTATAGAACTCTACTTTGCTTACATTAAAGGAAATATGCAAAATATATATATTCAGAATTTAAGTAGAAAATTTGCTTGGAAAGAGTTTATATATATTTAATACTATTAAATACGTTCTTGAGTTTTTAAGTTAACATTTCTCATATTGCATCACCTCCGTAAATATTTTTGTTATTTGGTTATTTCCTGGCTGAAAAGGGCATCACAAATTAGTTTTGTTGACAAAATGAAAACCTGTGGGACATTGCCAAGTTGGTCAGGATTTCCATTTTGCTCAGCTTACCATTTCATTTTGGCCATTACATTGCTCGACTTCGTGGCCGACTTTTGCAATGAAAACTATTAAAGTACTTTAGCTTAGTTTCCCTGTTTTGAGGCAAAACTTTAATTTCACTTTCTGGAACAACGAATATATATGTATAAATATTTACCCACTTGGCCCGTTTTTGCCAAACCAAACAGGGCTTCAATTTCTTGGGGAAATATTTAAAAGTTCGCTTTCTCGATTTTCCCCCGGCTTCTTCGCTTAGTTTTCTGCCACCTGCCAGGCTCAAGGCAAACTTTATGTCGTATGCGAACAAAAAAAGAACTACCAAAATAAAATCGTACGGATAAAGTATTTCTCTCCTGGAACTTTTCTACCGAACAGCAGGGGAAACTATTTAAATTTCCTATGATTTCTTTTTCGGGGTTCGGTGATATCCTGGCTAAAAAGGAAAAAAGGGAAAATGTAGAGGAGAGGAAACTTTCCTATAAATAATTTTGCATTTTTATTGTGCATTTTATGCATTTTGTGCGCGATTTCGATTTGAAGTTGGGCTCTGAAATAAATATGAAAAGTTTTATTTATGTTTGTGGGGTGGCAAAGCCAGGCAAAAAGGGGCGTGACGTGGCTTTGGGGCTCGGTTTGTGTTTGGGGTCAGGAGCCGGGGTTATTCGGTGGCACAGCCGTGGGCGTTATATTTATGACATTTGTTTGCCAACAACTTTCAATAGCTCAATCACGCCACCCGCACATGCAATAGGCTAAACCAATGCCCCGCCTCTGAGCCACCAGATATGGGGTGAAAGGTCTCCATCAGAAAGCAAACAAACAAGCCTTCATGTTTAAGATTGAGTTTGAAATTAATATTTTAGTAGTGTTACCAGCGCTCAAATAATTAAATGACTTTGAGTAACAAGTGTTTAGTTACAGTTAAAAAATATTCGATACTCATACTGTGAAATTTTCTCTCATTAAAATTAATTTTTTCTCATCTTCATTCTAGCTAGAAGGCGGAACATCATCAATGTGAGTGCTGTGGACTGTGTGCTCTTCCACTAGAGCTGCGTGCCGCTCGGGGGCAATGAAATCGCGGAAGCTGCCAAAGGGCTTCGTGCTTTGTGGCCTCAACTGTTTGACTTTCGTCTACTTCCCGCTCGTCCTGCCCATCCTGCGATGTTCGGCCGGTGCGGCATCGGCGGCGGGCGGCGGCGGTGGCTCAAAGACCGCCGACGACTTCGACTACCGGATGCAGCGGGTGCGGAATGTCCTGAAGGAAGTGCCCCTAATCGACGGGCACAACGATCTGCCGTGGAATATCCGCAAGTTCCTGAAGAACCAGCTAAAGGACTTTCACTTTGGCGGCGACCTGCGGGAATTGGCTCCGTGGTCGTCGAGTGCCTGGAGCCACACCGACCTGCGCCGCCTGAAAGAGGGCATGGTCTCAGCGCAGTTTTGGTCCGCTTACGCCCCCTGCTCATCACAGCATCTGGATGCAGTGCAGCTGACATTGGAACAGATCGACCTGATTCGTCGACTAGTCCAGCTATATCCGCATCACATGGCGCTGGTTACGACTGCGTCGGGTATCGAACAGACGCATCGAACTGGGAAAATTGCCAGTTTGATTGGCGTGGAGGGCGGTCATGCCATTGGAACCAGTTTGAGTGTCCTGCGAATGTTCTACCAACTGGGCGCCAGATATTTAACTCTCACTCACACCTGCAATACACCTTGGTAAGTATACATTTTATACTTTAAAAATCATAAGCCTCATTTACTTTTTAGGGCGGACTGCTGCAAAGTTGACGAACCTGGGAAGTACCCGCACATAGGCGGTCTTTCACAGTTCGGCAAGGTAAGAACACTCATCCACAAGCTAAACTTATGATATCCTTATGATACCTCTTCTTTATCATACAGCTGGTGGTCAGGGAGATGAACCGACTGGGCATGATTGTTGATCTGTCGCACGTCTCTGTGCCCACGATGCTGGATGCATTGGCCGCCTCGACGGCCCCGTTAATATTCTCGCACTCCTCGGCGCACGCCATCTGCAATAGCTCCCGCAACGTGCCCGATCATGTGCTGCAACGCATTGTGAGTCCATTATGGCGACATTAATCAGGGGGCACATTAATCCATTACTCCCCAAATTCCACATCCAATGCAGGCAATAAACGGCGGTCTGGTTATGGTGGCCTTTTATCCACATTTCGTCAGCTGCTCGGGACAGGCGACATTGCACGACGTTGTGGGTAGGTGGTTTTTGGCCCGCTGGGTTTTTTTGGTGGGTGAAGTGTGCACTATTAATCTTTAAACTTGTGCTTGTGCCTTCGCCCCTTTAGCGCATATCAACCACATAAGGGAGGTGGCCGGCATCGATCATGTTGGCATTGGAGCTGGCTACGACGGAGTCAACTTGTAAGTACAGCAACTTTTGGCCAGTGCTCCATCTTCAATTACATTTCATTTCATTTGTGCAAATTATGGTCTCTCTATTGCTATTTCTCTTTCATTCCTTCTCTCTCTCTCTCTCTTTCTGTTTCTCTTTTTCTTCGCTTTCCCCGCCTTGCTCTGCTTTCCACTTAAGAGTGCCCAAAGGACTGGAGGATGTGTCCAAATATCCGCATCTTTTTGCTGCCCTGCTCGAGTCTGATAAATGGTCGGAGGAGGATATTGCCAAGTTGGCTGGCAGGAATCTAATACGTGTATTCAAGAAAGTCGAAGCGGTGAGTCCACAGCAAAAAACACACAGAAATTGCTCACTTTTCTCTAGCATTTTTCTATTGTTCACCGTTCTGCCCCTGAAGGATGCTTAAATACCCTGACAAAGGGTATTGGGCTTTTCAGAAAAAAGAAGAACAATACAAGATGAAAAGATAGTTATGTCTGTTGTTCAGTTCTCGAGAGATTTAATAACAAAAGTCTTAATTGAAATGGCAAAGGAAATATTTGTTCAGATAAGAAGTCAGAAAAATTTCATAAAAATGTTTGATGAGACTCAAAAATATTTTTAGAGCTCCTAAAAGAGTCGACTTAGTCAGGAGTGCTTTAAAAGTCACCAGGGGTTTTATCGTTCGCGATATAAAATGCAAGTGCTATTTTTGGACACTCAAAGTATTGATCTGAATCCTCAAAGGATTTTTGAAGTGCACTTTGGAGAACGTTGCGAGAGTATTAAATATTTTCTCCAAACGTTATTATTTTTTGTGATATTTTTTCTTGGTATTAGGCGCGTACCTGACCGACTTAAAGCCGAAGCCAGTCTCCAGAACTAAACACACATTTCACAGCAAACAAACAAAGAACTTGGAAAAAGGACATTGGTATGGTGTCCTCTATGCCTGGCGCTCTCTCTCTCTTTTCCTCGGTTGTTATTGCAGTTGGAAAATTCCTTTCGCAAGGATAAAAGGAATAATGTGGCTTTGCAATGGAATTTGCACATACTTGGAATGGAAGACGGAGAGGAGAGGATAATGGGAAGCCAGCTGGAACACAGAGGACAGAAGCAGGACATTGGCTTGACGTCGAAAAGACGCAAGTTGTGAAATAATTTTAAAAGGATTTTCAAATGCTTATTCCGATATTTATACACGGGCCTGACCATCGCAACCGAAGCAACAGCTCCGTAGTCTGTAGTCTGTTTGTAGGATGCGGTCAGCTTGTTTGTCGTCTGCTCTCCGTTCGGATACAGCTTATAGTCCAGCGAATGGGATTGGGATTTGGTTTGGCTCGGGAATTTCTTTCACTGCCGCACGGCGAAGACCATGTCTGGGCACTCCAAGCTCAAGCAGCATTCAATTTAGATCAATACGGGATGGAAGCCCAGAAGCCCATCCTCTCGAGGAAGTTACTCCTCGGCATTGAACGGCACTCGAGCGGAGGCTAGTACCATTCAAAGGCTTGCAAGTGGGTTTGTTTTTCAGTCCAATGGTTGGATAGTTGGGTGCTTGGTCGGTTGGTTGCATGAATGGATAGTTGGATGTACGACTAAACGATGCAGACAGTACTCAAGTTTGCATATAAAAGAATGTGTGTTTACTGCTTTTGAAGGAATGTTCTTCAAATTAACTGATAGGCAGAGTAGAGTGGTAATTAAATGTTCAGAAATTTTATAAAATTCCTTAAGGTGTATTCAAAAATGAAGCTCTTATTGGTTAGTATGAGAAGGATTTGAAGTCAAAAAGAGCAAAGAAAACTGCAAAAAAAAGTAATTCTTACATTTCATAAATATCTATCTATGGTGATAAGTTACAGGATAAACCCATTTATTTGAAGATTATTCGGTGAGCTCTAAATCAAAATAGTTGAACCATTTCCCCTTTCATCCTAGAAGCTTCCGAGTTACTCCTCCTTTTGAGCCAATTTAAAGATTTAATAACAAAAATAAATCATACGCCCTCCTTAACGTTAAACGCTGTGCTCGTAGATCTTATTGCTTTTGCTGATTATAAAAACCTCCTCCAACTTCCACCCATTCACCGTCCCCACCATTTTGACCAAGTTGAGAAAGAGATGCCGCAGCATTTTTTAATTTAGCTCTTGTCTCTCGCTGACTGAGAGACGACCCGGCAAACTTTAATCATATTCTCGCGCCATCTCTGCAGTCCCTACATTGTAATTAGTTTTAGTTCAGGGCGTGTATATAATACATAGAAGTACTTAATGTCCGTTATTACAAGGGGCTCTTACCCCATCAGCAAAGCAATGGAAATGGTAACAACATAAAAATAAGGCCACAAAAGTATTGCCTACTTTGCAGCGACTGATTAAAATCGCAGGGCTTTTATTGCGCTTTGCACTCAGCAAACCAACCATATATATACGATATACTCTTTTTTACTGCTGTTTATTACATGGCCATAATGCTCATTAAGAATTGTATTTTAATACGTTTCTGTTTGTTTCTGTATTTTTTTTCGCTTCCCCCCTTTTTTTCAGCTGTTTGCGGTAAAAAGTAATTAAAAATGTTACCCAACGCCTTTTATCTTTGGCCAGAAAGCCCTGAAGCATTGGAAATTAAGCCGGGCCATATATATTCTTATCCCAATGACATTTGCTTTTGTTTTTGCATCAGGCCAAGTCCACAGTTCATTGAACCGAACTGGAAATCCCCCATTTCAATTTCTCGACTGGCGAAATAAAATGCGTTATAGCCTACTTATGGGCGTCGCCAAAAGCTTGGCTCGTAATGCAATTAAATAATAACGAAAAGCGGGTCAAATGTTCAATTATTAGAAGCTTAATGCTATTTTGGGTTGTGTGTACCCAGGGGACTAGGTCGGTCATGGCTGTGATAATTAAGCAAGTCATAGAAATTAGGCAAAAGGCCATTTTAATGATTGCCATCTCGCACAAACGCTCACAAGAACATGTATACCAACACGAACCAGCACATATACAATACCCTTTTAGGCTGGACACGCATTCAGTCAAAATTGAGAGCAGAGTGTTCTCTTAAACTCTTTCGCAGAAATTTCTGGAGATTTATAATGTCATTAAAGAAATTTCAGATTTTCATACTTACATTAGTTCATCATTTATATCGTAGAAATTAAGTATGAAAGGTAAAAAGTTTTCATATTTAAAATATATTATGAGCTTCTCTAATACCTTTTATTAAAGTAGGGCAAACTTTTGCAGTTTCCTCTATGCTGTTGAAGAACTAAACTTTAAAGTTCGTTATCACTTTTGAATGATTTTATATGTCAGCTTAAGTTTATGAACCTATAAAATTTAAAGTGCTTCAAAACTAAGGGCATATCTATGGTAGAATGAGAAAACTAGCAGTGGTCCGATCAGATTTAGCGAAAGTAACCGGTTCTGGGAACACATTTCCAAGGACATTAGGGACAACAAGGATGGCCGCAAATTTGTGGGCGTGGGAGGCGGCCAGTGGATCTGCTCCGAGAGCCATTGCCATAGCCATAGCCATAGCCCATGAACATGATAATTTTCTCGACGCCAGTTTTTATCTACACAAAAGCAGCATCGTCGGGGGCAAAGAAAAGCCAAGGATTTCAGAGCCCTTTCCAGAGGAAACCCACTCCCTCGCCCATTTGTGTTTGTGTAAATGTATCTTTTATTTTAGCCTTTTATATCTAATGCGAGAGCGAAGAACGGCATTTGGCACGACACATCGCCCAAGTGGCGGCAAGGAGGCTTTGTCTCTCATCTCTCAGATGGGCAAATGTCCCCGGCAAATGGCAGCAATTTGTGCGAGACAAATTCATTTAAATATCCTTTGCAGGCAGGCCTTGTGTGCACTGGAAAATAAAGTGATTTCAAATGGGGGTCAATCTGATCTTGTAATAAATAGGGGAGTAACGGAACTAAGTTTAAAGATGAGTACTTTTATAGCTGTGCATAGCAAAAAATAAGTATTATTCTAAGGTACATCAACACATGCATTAAATTTAGTCAAAATGTGTATGAATATTCCATTAGGAATAACATTCCAGGTATGACATTCCATTCAATTGACTAAGTCATAGGCATAATACTGTCAGTTTGAAGAGAAAAACTGGGATAACCAATTTTCCCATTTTCGATTTCGGGGTAACATCATCAAAATTTGTAAAAAATGTACTAAATTTCACATTTTAAACTGTGAAAACAGTTCGACTAGAAATTAGAAAACAATTTTAGAGAGGTATGATTTGCTAATCTCGGCCGATTATTGACTTAGTTATAGGAAAAATACTTTCATCTTGAAGGGGAATATTGAAAAACCCAAAATAAGCATTTCGATAAGGGGTAAACCATGGATAAAAAACTTCTTTTATTTTGTAATAATAACTACAATTTTAATTTAATTTGTATGCAATCATTTTAAGCGTAAAATAATAATCCTTAAATCTTACCATTTCCATAATCTTCCACTTTTGATGCTGTATTCTAGTTTTGGAAATTGTAAGTGCGTTGGCGCTGACCTTCTTACAATTGATTTGGCTTTGGGAACCTTTTTTGCTTTTGAAATGTGTTGCTTTGCTGTGGTGTGGGAATTCATTTTCCGCTTTGAGCTCTTCACTCAAACTGTAACTGTGAGCTGGGCTTTTCATTTCACTTTGAATGGGTAGGGGGTTCGTGGGGAGGGAAATCCAGCTCAAAGGCCGGAAGAGTCTAGCCAAAAGGCAAATGGCTCAAAGTTCCCACAGTTGATGTTGTTGTTGTTTTTCACTGCTTGTGTGAGTGGGTCATGCACACAAAGTGCAATGACTGAGCCAAAGCTGACGTTTTATTGTTGTTTGTGTGTGGCAGGGCGCACATAAAGCCTCATAAAAAAGTCGTAAATTCGATTGTTGTATGGCAAACAAAACCCAGGAAATGGGACCAGTCGACCTAGGCCTCACCCTCTTCCCTTAGCCACCCCCTCAAAAGGTGTTTGGTGTTGAAAACAAAACATTTTCTCTCATTTTATTTCGCTTTTTCCGACCCCCCTCTCTTTCCCTTTTTTTGTGTTTGTGGCATTAAATGTGCTTCAACTTTTGCCAGGAATAAGAGTGGCCTGTTTGGCATTCAGATTTCGGCCTCTCTTTAAGGATTCAGTGTGTCCTTGTGTGCGTGAAGAGTGTGTGCTTGTGTGTTTACGTGAGTTAGACAAGCGGAAGAGGTTTCTCTATGAGTATTTGACTCTTTGTATTCTTGTTTCCCGTGTTGGGTGACGGCCTTTCCCCAAACACTTAAAGAGAGTCATTTGCAGGAAATTTTAAAAATCATAGCAGATTTCAAAAACACTTAATTTGTTTGTAACATCAAGTGTTTTGGGAAGGAACACAATAAATATGATTTTTTAAAAGAAAAATGTGAAAAATATAAGTTACGAGTAAGATAGGTTAAAGATTAGGTGGGGAAAATAACTAGTTTCTCTTTTCACATTAAAATGTCAAAAATTTGTCATTAAGTTATATTCAGATTCTTATTTTTCCTTTAAATAGCTTAAATGATTTCTACAAAATCTGCTAGTAACGAAAATCATAAAGACTTCAATCTCAATCAGTACCCAAATAAATTTCTTGAAACCCATTTGGTAATTTTCACCAGAGTGTTTACCATAACTAACATCCAAGTCCAATTTTGTTGCCTAAGCGCCGCGGCGAAACTTGCGAACAATATTAATGCCATATGAAGAGAACACGAGAAGTTCCAAGAAATCATTTCTGCATTTGAAAATTCAAACACAAAACTTTGGCAATTACGCTAAATAACTTTTGTAAGTTGTGCCAGCTTGGCAATGGCGCAATGCAATCAATTTTCATCAATCAAATGCAGCTGTCGTCACTCCCACTCCCACACACATACACTTAAGTACCCACACATACGCATGCATAAATAATTGCTAATGGTATTTTAATCAAATGAATCGTACTTAATTCACTTTCAGGTGCGCGATCAGATGGAACTTCTGCGTGTGGCACCCATTGATCAGTCAATTCCAGCCGAAGACATTATGGGCCGATCCTATTGTCGTTATCAAGGACCAAGAACGTGATAATTTCTCCATTTGTAAAGTTCACTCATATGCATAGCGTTTTCATTCATCACAGCCCCGTGGCGAAAATGGCAAAAAATTATGTCAAGCGTACGTGTTGTAAAGTGAAACTTGTTTTAGGTTAATTGACAAAGTTTTCCCTCCTCTCTGCTGCTGGTGCTGATGCTAGCTGATGATGTTGTTGTTTTTGTTCTTATTCTTGTTGTTGCGTATTGTTTGTTTGTGTGTGTATGTGTATGTGAGGCATGATGCTGCACAAACAGAAACACACACACATATACATTCGGAAAAAAACGGCAACATTTTGCAATCGCTCAGAGCTGAGCAGCTGGCCAACTGCTGTTGCAGCACTGAGAAAAATGTAGGCAAGGAAAATTAAAATAATAATGAAACACTTTTTTAATTTACATTTAATTATTAAGTTGAGCCAATATTTTAAACTTTTATGAAAATCAAAACTTTATAATTAAATGAGAAGTGAAAGTCAAACTTCTATTTCCTAACAAATATTTATAAGATTTATGGAATTTATATTTAAGTTCCAAGATTTTAGTTAGCTTTCTAAGATTTTTTTAGAACTTGTTTTGCAACAGTTTCTTTGATTTATCTTCTTGACTTTTTTCTCAGTGCCTAGAACTTTGAGCGCAGCTGGCATTGGCCATAAACAAATACAAAGTGGCAAGAGGAGATCCCACCCCCCACAAAACCCCAAGAACCCCTTCCGTTCCCCTTACCTACATTCCCGAAGTAGCCAACATTGTGTAAATATCATTGCCATGTTTATTTTTATCTCTAGCTCTAGCTCTAAGTCCAGGCAAAAAAAAAGTAAAAAAGGAGGACAAGCAAAAGATTAAGGATGAGTAATAGGAGAAGAAAAACCATAGCACAGAAAAGCTAGACAAAGTAAAGCCTATAATAGCGAAAGTAAAGCACATTTAGCTTAAAATTAATAAACCGAGAAGAAAGTGCAGAAAATGAATTCAAAGCAAAGCCGAGGCTAATCACAAAAGTCAAGCTCAATGTTAGTACTGAAGGAAAATCTAATTTTTCATCATGTATTTTTTCTATGAAAAAGTTATTAAAGTTTACAAAGAATATAGCTAATAGTTAATGAAATAAATGTTGAATTCAAACGAGTATATGCGACTTTTGCTGCGCCCCATTTGGATCTGATGTGGCGAATAAAGTTCGTTAATCTGCATTCATTAGCCGGCACTCGCAGCAAAACGATTTAATTATATAATACATTATGCGTTTAAAGAGTTTTTAATTTTCGTTATTAACCTAAATGAAATTCCCATTTAATTAGTTAATTAACATTAAACATTTAATTAGCCAAGGTTTAATGGAAAACGAGGACAACAGCCGAAAAAAAGATGAATGTAAAATTCAATGCTTGAATTGAATGTAACCACATTTTTGCATCATTTGTAAGGCTTAAATACCAATCTTTTAATCAATATTCAGTAAAGCGATACAATTGCAAATGAAAAGCAGCTAAATGGTAAAAATATTGTATAATTAATAGATCCATACAAAATTCAACCCGCCAAAATTGCAAATAAGTTCACAACCAAACCAATTAAGAGAGAAATAATATTAAATAACGATTGTATAGAAAGCGAATGGGGAATCTGTAAGCGTGTTTGTTCAAGAACCATTTAACTCATATACCTACTCATACTCACCTATATCACACACACACACTCTCTTCTATATGTATGTGTATTTTAAATATTTTTTTTTATTTGGTCATCAAATTTACATAGGCAAAAACAAGTTTTCAATATTCGTTATTCAACAAGGTCAGCAAAAAGTTGCATTCCACCAGCCATTTTGCAGCTCAACTTATAAATTAAATTAAACAGTTTTTGTTTATAAAATAAAAATGAGAAACATCGTTGAAAAATAGATTCAAATTCGAACATATTTAATGTTTTAAGCCAAGTGAGGGGCGAACAAAACAAAAGGCAAAGAATAACACATGTGATCAAAACTAAAATTAAATTACAGATCTATATTATTACTACTTATATATAACTAAAATTATTTAATGTTTTAACAACATACAAAAACTTGACAAACAAACAAATTCAACAATTTTTACTGCTGATGGGAAAGTGAAAAGAAAACTACAATTTATCGATTACAATTAGCCTATAATAAAGTGAGAAACTTTAATATTTAACCATATGGGAAATTACTTGAAAACGCTGCTCGAAACAGTGTTTTCACCTGTAAATATTTGTATGGATAATGATCAAATAGTAATAATAATTGTATGGAAAGTATGTCAAGTTGTGAATTGGAAATAACCGAAAAAACAAACGAAGGATAAAGTAAATTAATTCATATCTGTAAATTGGAAGATGTCGTAAATGGTTGCAGAAAAATACTACCAAAAAGGGATATAAATAAGGTTCATAAAGAATTATTGTAACTAACTGAACGGTCTTTTTCAGGTGGAATTATTGGGTTTTAAGCTTAAATTTTATATGTGTCGAACACTAATACCCTTACTGTTTCGAAAGGAAGCTCGCGTTTTCCTCTCAAGGAAATCACTGAATGTATAGTAAAACTCTTCCAACAACCATCAACACTTCCAGTTTCAGTTCGACTTTCCACTTGCCATTGTTTTGTTGTTATATTCTTATTGCGATGATAGCACTCAGCTTATCTACCAGCACTTGGATCATACATCCTTGCCCCGCCATTTATCTGTCAGGGTTGGCTTGGTCGAATTTCGAACGTAAATAAAGAAAGTTTGCAGTTCCAGTTGTTTATATCAGTTTATACGCCCTAAGCTGGGGTAGATAAAGCTCCCGTGCTTTGCAATGTAATTTATTTACGCGCTTTGGTGGCCAAAACAGTTCAAACAAGTGAAAAATCATGGAATTATCTCGCTTATACGCGCGCTGCTCGCCTTCCAGCTTCGGTGGGGCGAAGGTCAAAGCAGCTGGAATCCCGTTTCCCGCAAGCCCACGCCAGCTCAATGCTCGTAAACTTGCCGATATTTCACATTTGTTTATTTTCGGTTTGAAGTGGGAGTGGAGATGGGCGGTGGATGGTGCGAGCGTTAAAACTGTGTCAAACGAAACGAAAGTATTATTGTTTTATAAAGTACAATTAAATGAAATAAGTTTCGGTTTTTGGGATTCGTCCTTGGCACTAAAAGGACCCGGTGCCAGGGCCAGGGCTGCTGTACGTCTCGGCAAATCATCTCGCTGGCAGCTGGAGATAAAAGTCACGGTGGCAACCGGCACTAAACATTTATTTCCAACAGCCATACCACACAGGCGACCCCATCAGCCATCTTACCAGTGGAAACTAATAAAGTAATAAAAACGAGAGTGCAGAAAAATCGAACCAGAGCGGAGCAGAAGCAAATACAATATTATGGTTGGAGGTAAAGTGGGATTGTAATCTCGTTCCTCATATCTCGACGTATATAAATGAGTTACATTTTAAAAGAGCATTATATATTAAGCAAGAGTTTTTCCCCAAACTACCAATTTAGTATAAATTTGCCCAATACAAACAGTTATTTACAGCAAAATTGACTCATTTCAAGACTCGCTTTCACCCTCAACTACAACCTTGTTAAATTATTATAGCATTAATTTTTGATTTGACATCATATGCAATGATACCTAAGTTTTCACTCAAATCTCTTAAAATAAATCTGGACTGCAACCTAGGACCAAAAAATATAAACAAAAAACTCTGAGTAATAATAAATAAATATATATAAAAAAAAGGATGCAGAGTGGGGTGGTCGACAAGGAAGAAAAACAGCAAGTGAAATAAAAAAATCATACGTTATTTCGTTGTTTTCGAATGACCAGTTTGCTGACCGCCTTCCACTGAGAGCCACCCCATTGGAGCACCACACTACCACGAAACAATGTTGCATATCATCGACTTTTAGTGCCACCTCCGCCTTTTCCCACATAGGTGCCACAAAAAGGATTGCTCCTTCATAAATTATTCCTTATTATTTTATTGTCAATTTCTTTTTGTCTTTTTCTGTGTTTCTTTTGCCCTTCCATGGTTTTATTCCGCGTTCTATTGCTTATCTTCATCTAGTGCTTCCTTACTCCCTAAACTTTTTTTCGAACACTTTGAGCCACATGCCGAGATTTGTCCTGGTCAACTGGACCAAGAACAGGACCCCTCCCTTGCAAACTTGGCAAACGGTTATGAAGAATTGTTTTCAAATATAAAATATAAGCACACACAAGCACACTAGAAAAATATTTAAAATAATTACTTAAATATATAAATTGTTTTTGTTTTATTTACAATGTTTTTTTATTTTAGGTAAATTATATATCATTATCATATAGGTTTTAAGTATAATAAAACTTATGATTTTATATAGTGATCAATTATTTTTTACAGAGCAATCCATAAAAGAAAACCTCATTCTCCATGTGTGGTAAATGATACTAAATAAATAGTTTTAAATATATATTAATAATATTTTTCCGAGGTACAGGCTCTAAAACGTTATATTATAGATTGTCGGCGTAGTTCAAAGGATTGGAGAAAAAGTGGCCATGGAAGGATTGTTTGTTTTCTCTAGCTGGCTACAGACAATTAAAAGTCTTGAAATATTCAGAGTGTCAGGTGCACAACCAGCTCAGCCTTTGTTGGCCTCACCAGTTGAAGTGGAAAGTGCAGAACAACAGGTGTCTTCTTTAGGATGGCGAAAGTTAAAAACGAAAGTGGTCTGCGGATCGGGCGATAACGAAAACTGAAAACTGAAAACTGAAAATCGGAAAATGAAAATCACACAAATCGAGATAGTTTGAGGGAGAAAAAGTAAACTGTATACGATTTCATTTCAGTAACAATGCATATTATAAGCAACACCTTAAAACATTTTAATGAGCATTTTGCATAACAATGCGGTTTTCCACATTCGTTCAAGCCAGAAATACCACCGAAACCACAGCCCCAATACCCCCTCCTTTTTCGTTGATGGAAAACGGCTGAATTTTCATTCAAACAAACTTCCACAGGTAACTAATTACATGCAATTATATTTATTATTGATGTTTATTATTGTAACTCACTCCTTACATGGCCCTTTGATTGTTATGATGATCAAACGGCGATGATGATGGCCCATCATGATTTTCATACTCATAAAGCCAATTTCAATTTATAGAATTGATTTTGTAGTAAGTAAATTGAATGGTATAATGCAGTCTGGGAATTATTATTTATAAAATTCACAATCATATCTGCCTCAATCAGCAGATGGGGTCCTCGTTAACGGTGATGACCAATTTTCCTTATTTCAGACAATCGGGCGCTTGATGGGTTAAACTACTGCTAAACTGCGAACAGATGTCCCTCTTTCTTTCTGCCCACCACCCCACAACTGACCTGACTGAGGCTTTGTCCCTTTCCAGCTGTCCTTCATGGAGCTCACCAAATTTAATAATTTAAATTCTTCAAAAGTAGGTGATTTCGTTTACTGAGAGAAACCTATGAAATAACAGTGGGGTTGAGTTTATTGACTATCCCATTTTATAGAAAT